AAACTACCAGCTGCTCCGCGGGAGAAAGATGAGGCTTTCTACTCCCGTAAGGATTTACACCCTCGGAAACCCTGTACAGGGTCGCTATGGGTCGGAACCGACTTGAAGGCACTTAACAACAATACAACAATACAGTTTGCAGTAGTTTGTATGGCAGCCCATTAGACTAGTACACTCAACCAAAAAATAATCAAATGTAAGGGGTTGGAAAGCAACAAGTCTAATCTTTGCTGATTTAGGTGCTTGTAGTAAGGCAGGGGTGTGTGAGTAGGTGTGAGGGGTGTGAACCCCACTGGAGTTTTAAGGGTCTTCTGTAGGTGATCCCTAAATCCAAGTGCCTCTGTGTGAGTGTGTGCCTGTGTGAAACTCTGAAGGGAGTTGTAGTGATGAACTGGAGGGAAAACTCACCTGGCTAAGAACATACTACAGGTCTATGCTTCTTTGTTTCCATTTGGTTACCTGGTGTGGTACTGTGAATTAATGCACCAGACTGCAAACACATTTGAACTGCAAGGTCGGCGGTTCAAGTTCACCAGCTGTTCCTTGGAAACCCTATATGGGGCCTCTATGGGTTGGAATCGATTTGACGGCCCTTAACAACAACAAAGCCTAGCAGGGAGGGGAGCATTAAACCACGAGATTAACTTCTTTTATAAACTTCTCTGACCTAGATTAGAGAAGAAATCTTAGATAAGAGAAATCTTATCACCATATTTAGATTTGATTTCCATATATCTCATAAACTAGTCCTAACTAAGGCCATAAGCATTCTAATCCAGTCACAATTTTGCTTACTACCATCATACACACAGTGAACCTGACTTGCAAGATTTGCAGCTAAGTTCTCTTCGTGACTAACCCATTGGATGCCTGGCACACCTACCTTTCCTTTTGACTTGAATAAGCTACCGAGACCATCACTTTTTTCCTTTCAATGCAGGTTTTGTGCCAAGTGAACTCAGCTTTATAATATTTAGACCAACCTTTTCATATTCTTTTATTAGTGTGTGAGTATTGCTGTTGTTAAGTGCCATCAAGTCAGTTCCAACTCATAGAGGCTCTATATAGGGTTTTCCAGGCTGTAAATCTTTACAGGAGCAGGAAGACTCATCTTTCTCCCAATGAGTGCCTAGTGGACTTGCACTGCTGACCTTGTGGTTAGCAGCTCAACGTGTAACCCACTATGCTACCAGCCAGCATGTGATTATTGTGGTTCACTGCTGTCAAGTCAGTTTTGACTCACAGTGACTCTATGTAGGGTTTCCATGGATTAGCTGGTGGATTTGAACTTCAGTTCAAATAACCTTGCAGTCCAAGGCTTATCCTACATGAAATTATGTGGGATTATCATTTATTTGTGCTTTGGGAAGGTTGCATTCTATTGTTGTTGTTAAGTGCCATTGAGTTGGTTTCCAACTCATAACAACCATGTATAGGGTTTCCGAGGAGTGAGTGGTGGGTTTGAACCATTGATCTTGTAGTTCAAACCAACCTTGAAGTCCAGTGCTTATCCTACAGTGCCACACCAGGTCTCCTTACATTCTGGTGTTAGGGAATAATTCCCATTTTTTGGAGAAAAGAGTAAACCAAAGAGATAAATGATCTTGCTATTTCTTAGAAGGAATTTGATTTTTCTGTTTTTTGAACAACAAAAATCTAGCTCTCTTTGAAATAATTGTCAATAATTAATTGACCCAGATTAATATTTTGCAATTGTTTTATAGCACACTATATTTATTATATTTGTGGACAGTGTGTATTTCCCTAGGTCCTTGGGTGGCACAAATGGCTTACATTTGGCTGCTAACCAAAAGGATGGCAGTTTAAACCCTCCCAATGGCACGACAGAAGAAAGAACTGGAAATCTGCCAAGAAAACTCTATGGACTTTGCCTAGGGGACAGGTAGTGGGGAGCTGGGAATTATTTCAGACAAGGAATTTGAATATTACACATAAGGCAGACAAAGGAGATGAATAAGAATAAGACAGATAAGCAGAGGTCAAATGATGAAACTATGTTTGTCAAGTAATAGTTTTAGATTTCATCATGCTGCCTTGATATGTAATATTCTAACTACTTACATGATATATGTACATGCTATTCTGCCTGAAATAATTCCCTGTTCCCTACTGACCTACTTGTCCTATCATGAAGGTCCTACTCATCTTTTAAATTTTGGTTCAAACCAAAAAAAATTTTGGTTCATTTATGAAGCCCTCAGCTAGACTTCCAAGCTCCTCATATTCTACCATTGGTCTTTGTATCCACATAGCTTACTTTTATTTGCTTATGTGCTTATTTCTACAACAGGTTTTAGTTCCCCAATAGAAAAAGACAAGTTTTTCATTTAATATCTCTAGCACTTATAATATGGTTTACAATAAGAGGAACTGTTACTTCAACAATAACAACAACAACAACAACAACAACAACAACAGCAACAAGATTTTATTCAATTTTTGGTGAAAGTTTTCATGTTAGGTTCCCATTTCACAATTTTCACACAATTTTTTGTGACACATTATCATAATGCATTATCACAATGTGTCTCTTTAATTGTGTTAGTTTGTTCCCTTTCCAGAACTCTACTTTTCCTGCCTTATGTTTGTTTTACTATGCTTTTGAGTAATTGTTGATCTCAGTTACTTTTTATTTTTTTTTAAAGCTTTTATTGTGAATTGAGTGATAGTTTATATGGGAGAATATTGGTTTTGCACTCATTGTATTTTGTCTCATTGCAATGATTACAATCTCCTCCATGCATCATCATTTAGTAGTATTTGCTTGTATTCCCTCTGTTTTTTCTTTGATGTACACAAAAATAGTCAGAAATATATCATCAGTTAAACAATCAAAGGGCACGTTCTGCAAGCCTGCCTCCTGGCCCCAACACTCAGTACCTCTCTTTCCCTGAGTTTAGAGTCCTCAGCTGCTCTCTGTCTCCATGCCATCATCTCTGCCTCTATCTCTGGTGTCACTGCTTGCATATTCTGATCATGCTCTTCACCCTTGATGGTCCTAGGGTCCTCTGTTCCTGGAATGTAAGATTAACTACTCCCCCCTTTATGTTACATGACTTCTACCTTTACAGTTGTGAAAATTGCAATTAGTAGTGATAACAATGATTCACTATTGAATCAAAAGAATCCTATCCCCATCTCCGTTCACCAGACCCATCTAGACACGAGACCCTTCATGCCTTTATAGCCTTCCCCATTTTAAATAGCTATTATCTAAGTTGCCAATCCCTTCTCAGTTACTTCTTGACTGAAGACACCTTCACGATCTGAGGAGGTTTTCCAGGGTGGTGGTTGTAATAAATAATCCTCTTCCTATTAAGTTTTTCTGACTTCTTCCAATATCTAGTAAGCAGGTGTTAAGTGCCATCGAATAGGATTCCTAGCAACTCTGTATAGGGTTTCCAAGGCTGTAAATCTTCATGGGAGCAGAAAGCCTCATCTTTTTCCCATAGGGCAGCTGGTGGGTTCGAAACGCCTAGCTTGTGGTCCACAGTGCTTAGCCTATGGAGGAACCACTATTAACTTTTTTTTCAGGTATCCTTCAGGAGCTCTGGTAGCGTAGTGGTTACGAATTGGGCTGCGAATCTTAAGGTCTAGCGGTTCGAAACTATCAGCCGCTCCGCGGGAGAAAAATGAGGTTTTCTACTCCGGTAAAGATTTACATCCTCGGAAACCCTGTATGGGGTCGCTATGGGTTGGAAGCGACTCGACGGCACTTAACAACAACAGAAGCGCCACTATGAACTTGTTGTTAAGTACCGTCGAGTCGGTTCCAACCCATAGCGACCCTGTATAGGGTTTCCGAGGAGCAGCTGGTGAGCTTGCACTGACTTTGCAGTTCAAATGGCTTTGCAGTCTGGTAAAATCCGCCGATTGTACTACTGCTGTCTGTGGTTATGTAAATCCTATCCTAATACCAATCATGTTTAAGTTTGTCACCTGTGTATCTAAGACTTTATGGGCGCCATACAAAATGAAATCAATGTTCGTAACGCTTACAGGGACTTTCTTAACCATTCTAGAACCTCACCATCATTCATAGACCATATAAAATTCTTTTTTGATCCAACCAAAACGATTGCTTTTGTAACACTGCATCACTCGAATTGTTCTCAGATGGCCAAAGCTTGGCTATCAGAGCCGCGAATTTTAGAAGGGAAATCGACTAGAACGCAACCAAAAGGACAGGGCTCGGAAATGACTAATTCGCACACCAAAGCAACATTTAAGAAACTGCTGACGGTTCTGCATTTGAAATAAGGTGTTTGCATTGTAAAGAGAAAAGATTAACCTATCAGGAAGACCCGAACACTACCAGCTACCAATCAAAAGCAGGAAAGAAGCCAAAGATTGAGGAAACCCATGCTCCAACCAGAACGTCATTCTCTAATATCCGCCAACGAGCAGTCAGATGGGGGCGGGGCAACAGGAAGACAAATTAGCATATAAAACAAACAACACTCAGCAGTACAAGTGTTCTGTAACCAGTCTTGGGCCAGGTACTTGTTAGTCACTTTCCGCTCTGTTTGCTTGGATAGAGTGGAATTCCTCCCTCTTATCAGAACAAGGGTCTTCTTTCCTTGTTCACACTGATTCACAGAAAGCACACTACAACTTTGCGCAATCTACCTTCACACGAACTGGGAGTTCAGAGCTACCTGAGGGGGAGGGGTAGCCCCAGTGCGCAGACGTGCATGCCTCGTGGAGGCGAGGCTGTGGCGGCCCAAGGCAACCTGGGATCTATAGTTCTTTCGTTAGCAAAATTTCAGTCAATCCTCAGTTACTCAGGACTACATTTCCCAGGAGCCTCTGAGATCTCCGGGAGGGCGGGTTGGATCGTTAATGAGCTCGAGGAAGCCTCAGAGCTGCCCACCAGGTTCCAAAACAAGGAAATGAAGGGGGGAGGCGGGACTGGAGGTGCTTGCGGGAGCCGCCGCCGCCGCCGCCGCGGAGGAGGAGGAGGTGGCTGCCGCGGCCGCCGAGGAACCCCTTGCTGAAAGCGGACAGCGGAGCGGCGGGCGGCGCGCGCGCGCGCGCCCGAGAGGCTGCTGTTGGAGAAGTGGCGCGGCGGCAGCGGGGGGAGGAGGAGGAGGGACTGAGCGGCGGCGGCCCCCGCGTCCCGGTGCCTCTATGGGGGAAGCAGACAATGGATTATGATTTCAAGGCGAAGCTGGCGGCGGAGCGGGAGCGGGTGGAGGATTTGTTTGAGTACGAAGGGTGCAAAGTGGGACGCGGCACCTACGGGCACGTCTACAAGGCGAGGCGGAAAGATGGGTAAGAGCAGGGGCGGGGGGAGTAGGGTCGCTCGGGTCCTCGCCCTGCCTGCGACTGGGCGGGATGGGTGGCGGAGCCCAGGCGGACCGTGCCCGAGGAGCGAGGCGGGGGTGGTCGCGGGGCCGCGTCCCGGGGCGGTCTCTGACGGACGCTTCTGTCCGAACCCCCCCGTGGTCCCGTCGCGCCCTTAGAGCTCCGGTGGCGCAGCCTAGTCGGGCACCGCCGCTCGCTTCCTGAGGGGCCCTCCGCGTGCAGGGAGCTGGCGGCGACTTGAGTTGGAACCTCGACTAGAGGTGGAGTTTGTGGGGTCTGGTCTCCTGGGAAGCCGCGGAGGGCGGGGAGAGCTCCGCCAAGGAGTTGCCGCTCTGGCCCCGTGACGGTGATTGTTGAACTTCCAATCGGCTGAGCCCCGCCCGGGGGCGGCGGTGCAGGTCTCCGAGGTCTGACCCGCTGGGCGCGGGACCTGCCAGCCCGGGATGGCGGGTCCAGGCCATGTACTCAGCCTCTCCTCACTCTCCCCCCTTTGCACATTCTCATTCGGAGTTCGCGCTTTCGCTTCCATGTGGGACATCCTGAGCGATTAACCGCGTTTTGCCGCGAGAACTGCAGAGTTCTCCCAGGTTCCCTGGCGCTGCTTTCCCTCCTCACCTAGGGTGTTGTGTCTTCTCCATCCTCTCTGTGCCAGATGACTTCGTGCTGGGCTTTACCAGGCACCTAGAGAATCCAGAACGGAATACGGAGTGACAGCTGGGCCGGAACCTTTGTTTTCCTGGGAATTGACAGAGAACCGTGGGAGCCCCTTGGGAATCCCCTTCCGAATGTGGTCTTGGAAGATGAGCTGGATAATCTATTAAGGGTAGTTGAGCTCGCACTGCAGGACAGGTGGAACCGGCGCTCTCTGAAGGGTGGGTGAATGCCAATCGTTACTCACGCCCCATCCTTGCAGTTTTCATCCCCTAGGGTTAGGGAGTCCGGAAAGATGCGCCTTCCACTCTTAACCCCTGTAAAAACCGACTAGAGTTTTAGGATTTTAGTAGAGGAACATTTTTGAATAAACTGAATATCAGCCATACTGACAGTAGTAAGATTTGAAGGGCTCCTTACCCTTCTGCGCACGCTGTAGTAATTTGATATGGTTAGTTTATGGTAGGACCAAAAGTCTGCATATGCACGCGCTAATTTCATAAAGGTAAAAAAACATAACTCAAAATTGTCTTGACTTTTTTTTATCAAAAAGTTTTGGGAACCTGTATTCCCCACCCCACCAATGTAGACTTGGCTATTGGTGTCAAGAATTAGATTCCCCATAGAGAAGTTTCAGAAGTGTTTTCTGTGAAAGATTGGAAATGCCAAAGTACTGTTTCAAGGTCTGTTATAATTGTCTCTCCCCCTTCCTTTTCTCGTTATGCCTACACAGGCAGATAGTACTCAGTTGTTTGTAAACTTTTCTTATAATTCTTTTAATTACCAGGTGTTCTTGAGTAAGTATCACGAAATGCGAGGTACTATAATTAACTTGTATTATGTTGTTGAAATATCCACTCTACTTGTTACACGGGTGTTCCTGTGGGAGTCTTAGCAAATATATTTGAGGAAAGCAAATTAAGTCTTTCTATTTGACATTGGCTATACAAATAAATCAAAAAATAATTCTTTTCACACTCCTCATGGTAACTTTGTACTATACTTGTTTTAGAATTTTTAAATGTATTAAAACTTTTTTGTTAAAATCGCTTCCTTTTCGCAGTTTATGAGAATAGTTAAAATTTTTGTTTCTGAATTGTATTTGAGTAGCACAGACTTAACAACAAAAACACCAGATCATTTAACTCCTGTTTCTATTTGTTCTTTTTGAATTACTTTCTCTATCTAATAAAGATATTGATTCGAATACACATCCTTCTTGAGTGAAATTTATTTGATTAGAGGTAATAGAGCTCTTTGGTAGAGGAAGATGGTTCCATCACAGCCAGATCACTTTGTGTTTCTTCAATGTATTATGATTTTTAAAATTTTTGTGGTGGACTTGGCATTTTAAAGCATTTGCTTAAGTCAGTATATAATATGTAAGAAAAGCCATGATAAAGTTTCTTCTCCCCCCTTGGACCAAGAGTCTGGTGAGATTTGAAGCTTTACGGTAAACACGTCTTGAGGGTTGGTTACCAAACCTAAAAGCCAAACTCAATATTGCTTCTGACTCATAGTGACCGTATAGGGTTTTGAAGGCTGTACGTCTTTAAGAAAGCAGAAGGTCTGTCACCGCTTTCTCCTTGGTAGTAGCTGGTGGGTTTGAACTGCAGGCCATCTGCTTAGCAGCCAATTGCTTAACCAATGTGCCACCAGGACTCTTTCTGTGGGTTGGTGGTGGTGATTTTATATGCATAGATTTCAGCTATTTGAAAGAACAAAAATTTTCAGTGAGTATTCTAAACTGTGATGCAGATTTGTACAGTAAAGAATTTTGTTCTTTGAGCATGGCAAATTACATTTTAGTCGTTTTAGTCCATTTTTATTTTGGTTAACATAGAAAAACATGCTATTTTGAAAAGGTAGCGAGAACTCACATGGGTGTATTAAAGAGAAATGATCCTGGTGTTTACAATGTAGTAGTTGTTAAGTGCCATCGTGTTGGTTCCTACTCATAGCAATCCTGTATTGACTGGTGAATTTGAAGCACCGACCTTGCGGTTCAAACCAACCTTATACTTGAGTGCTTATCCTACAGCGCCATACCAGGACTCCATATAACGTCCAAAAGCCAAAAATGATTCTAATCTTTAGAAGAAACACTGGAAGAAGAACTTGACATAAAATATCCTTAGAAAAACTGCTGCTTATCGTTAGTGCTACAGTTTAAAAACTTTCCTTTGAAATATGAGTGTGCCTTTAATTTAGGCTGTGTTAGTTAGGCTATACAAATTTAACACCTACACTGAAAATTCAAGATTTACAACTGGATTTTTTCACCTTTGGTAAAAATTCCACCACTTTTAAGGAAGAGAGTTTTTTGAGTCAACTGTACTTTAAAAAAAAATTTGAAGTAAAAGTTTTTCCTGAAGAGAAACAAGTTTAGAATGTTTCTAGACTTTAATATGATCAAGAATTAGTAGAACATTTTTTCTTTTAACATTATTAGAAAGTTGCACATGATTTGTGGTTTTAAATCTCAAGATTGTATTTCTCATATAGGAACCTTGTTTTGTTTGGTTGTTTGGATTGATAAAGGAAACTTGTACTGTTAAAAAATTCTTGTGAATAAGAGGTTCAGATAAACATGATTCCATCATGTTTGAAAACTTGCACACAACAATACCATTATTCAGTATTACAGACATTAATTTAGTTTCTTGGACCACATCAATAAAAGAATACCCCTTGTTGGATTTTGTTTTTTTTCTTAATTTGTGTTTTTATACTTAGTAATTGAAAATGAAATGGCTGACAGATATCTTGCAGTTTTTTTTTTTTTTTTTCTTCCCTTTATGGTTTTAGGTGAGTAGTTGACTACATAACTTTAGTATGTGGCATGAAATCTAACAAAGAAATAATAGGTACATACAGGTAAATAAGGAGTCCTGGTGTGGCACTGTAGGAGAAGCACTGGACTGCTAATTATAAGGTTGGCAGTTCAAATCCACCAGCCACTCCTAAGAAGCCTTATACAGGGTCTCTATGAGTTGGAACCGACTGATAACACTTAACAACAACAGGTAAATAACAGATACAGTAGTATAGACCTGTTCTTGATGGGCTTCCACATTTGATTAATTAAAATAGTTTTATATTTGTGTTTTTGTTGGAGGCTACAAGATTTACCAGTGTGATTATAGCATTTTAGAATTTACAAGATTTTTAGATCATCCAGTTCAATTTCCTCATTTACAAGTAAGAAAACCAAAGCTTTGAGAGATTGACATTCCCAAAGTCTCAGCAGTGACCAAGCCTGAAATCCAGATCTCTTGACTCAGAGTTCTTGCAATATCTACTGTGTTTTCCTTCTTTAAAAAGGGCCACGTTAGATCTAATCTTGATAATCTCATTGTATGAACTTTTTCCATGCAAAAGATACTCTATATCAAAATGTATGTAAAATGGAAAAAGGAAAATATGTGTGAGGGATATTTGAATTAGAAGTGCTGGCATGCCACCTGTACCTCCTTTTCATCCTCACTATTTTTGGTCCTATTGGTCTCTGTAGTAAGTCTTACTACTGTCGAAGACCCAAGTTGATGCGAGTATCATCCTACAAAAAAAACCCCAATATCGTCTTTTTGGAAAACAGTATATTCTCTAAGGAATCCCAGTAGCGTAGTAGATTTCGAGCTGGGCTGCTAAACCACAAGGTCAGTAGTTCAAATCTACCAGTCACTTTGTGGGAGGAAGATGAAGTTTTCTGCTCCCATAAAGATTTACAATTCTTGGAAACCCTATACTGGGTTACTATGAATTGAAACTCATTCACCACCACCATGTATTCTCTATGATTTACAAGATCAGATCCCATTTTAATCACTGTTTGGCATGTAAATCCATTTGTATTCTTATCCAAAGCCTTTAATACCTGACACCATTTCTTTCTATTTTTCAAGCGCAACAGGCTATAAGCAGCATTGTACTGTTCATATTTTCTAGGACTTGCCAGGTTCTTTCAATGTCTTTTTCTTTGTGCTGCATTCAAGCCAGAATGGCCTTGCCCTGCCATGCCCTCTTAAGCTCTCCATCCCCACAAAGCTGATGAACTGCTCACACATCAGTGCTCAAAAGCTGCTTTCCTGTGTCACCCAGTGTGCCCAATAACTGTGCTTCTACTCCTGTGTGTTCCTAAGTGGGAAATGTCACTTGCTTGCTTTTAATCAGCCCCATAAACTCTTAGCTGCAAAGCGTTTTTATCATTCCATATCTAGCACCTTGTTCAGAGTTGGGCATGCACTACACAGTAAAAAAATGGCTGAATTAAAAGGAAACCAGCAAACCCTTGAAATTGGTAAAATGAATAAACA